TCCATTGACAGATGTAAATTACACTTTGACAATGAGCCAAGCAAATTGTTTGTACTGGTCTACTACGATGGAAAAGTGGACGTCCGATGGATGTAAGGTAAGCTATCGTCGAGATATCGATAAAGCATGGTCTATTAAGGATAAAGAGCATCAAATCCTTATTAGGCAATAGAGCGTTTTAACATGACGTCACGGCCGCTATTTTGGTGATTCAAAACGATGAAACGGCGGCCATGTCGGTGTTACAAACCATTCCTGTGTGAGTTCAACTCCTTCTTTTATGTAAACGCTTTTTTTAGTGTATAGATGCTGGTCACGTGGGTTAAAACACTCTGTAAGTCCAAATGGAAACCCTCACAGTTTTGATGGATGGTTATTCACTCTGAAATTTATATGAATCCTATTCGTTGGAGATTAGTCTACCATCACAAATTAAACAACACGTGGGTTAAAGTTATCATTCTATTGGGTCCTTATTTGGTCTTTTGTGCCTTAGGTTGGCCTTGGCTCTGACAAAAAGAAGCTGAAGTGCCTTTGCAATCATTTAACAGCGTTTGGAGGAAACTTTCTACAGGCTCCAAATCCTATAGATTTCGACAAAGTGTTCGTGGAATTTACAAGACTAGGAGAAACTGGAAACGTAGCCGTGTTGATAACGATATGTGTCGTGTTCCTCCTTTATTTTGTGGTAACCTTCTTTGCAAGACGAGCGGACAAACGTGACGAAAATAAGGTATGAAAATAGCTCCGATCCATAAGAAATAAATGACATGCTCTAGAAATATCAAGTGCAAGAAGTAATTTAAAATTTCCAAACTAGCGTTTACTTTACCAAGATACTTCAAAAACAATTAGTAAATATATATAGCTCGAGGAGGCAGCGTGGCGTCGCACTCGCAATCCTGCGGTCCCGGATTCGGGTGCCGCTCCGACCACAAGCTGGTTTTGTTTCTCTTGAGCGTAGGGGATCAGGAACGAGATTGGTTAATAGCCTGGATATAGCGAAATACCGACCCAAAAACTGGCATCTTGAGCATAACCCTTTCAGTTCCCGAGATAGGCGTTGTGTACTAAAAGGTCCAAGAAGCTAAGGTCGTAGTAGGTCCTTTGAACGTTATGTTATTTTTCTTTATTACAAAATATTACAACTTCAATCAAAGTAGAATTACGTACTTCCAAATAAGGACATCTGCTGTCAAGTGTAACCAACAGATATGCTCCAAATATGGGGTCTATCTTGTATGCCTTCTCTTCTGATGCTTCTCATAAAAACTAAGACTTAGACTGGAAAAAAAATATTCAAAATAGCGGCTAAAGAAAGACGTCTCAAGATTGGCCTGGACTGGGTAGGGGTATGCGGATATACCCGAAACAAATTGATCAATATACCCCTAGCGTTCCCACAAGTGACGACAATGGAACCTGTGAAAGGAAAAAATACTAGTGAGCGTTCTAAAATTTATTTATTGGCCATGTGAAAATAGGATGGGTAAATAAATTGATTAACCCGAAAAACGTACCTTTGGCCAATCTTTCAAAAACCTGAAAATAATCATTGAAAAACCAATGAAAGACGTTCGTTATGTTGTTGGTAAGAAAGCATTGTGACATAAGATTTATCTGCAATCGGCGACAAAATGGTTGAGACATTTTACTTAAATAGGGTGACTTCGGAGAACAAAAGAATCCGCACCCCTTTCCTGTCCCCTCCATTCAAAGTTGGGGTGTTTGTTTTTTTCTATAGGTAGCTAGAACAAGGGCACAACATTGCACGGAGGGGATGGGGGAGGAAAGCTATATTTCCTCCTTTTGAAGTTCATAAAACGTAAAAAAGCCCACTTTTGGGCGAGGTGTCTCAACTCATTTTGTCGCCGATTGTNAGAAAAATGTCACTGAGCACTCCAGAAAAAGACGGTCCTGTTTTGGAGGAGGTAGACAAAAACGATCGTGTATTGGTGTTAAGGATCCGCCCCTAGAAGGCTTTAACAAGTCTGTCATTCCAAAGTATGATCCATTGACAGATGTAAATTACACTTTGACAATGAGCCAAGCAAATTGTTTGTACTGGTCTACTACGATGGAAAAGTGGACGTCCGATGGATGTAAGGTAAGCTATCGTCGAGATATCGATAAAGCATGGTTTATTGAGGATAAAGAGCATCAAATCCTTATTAGGCAATAGAGCGTTTTAACATGACGTCACGGCCGCTATTTTGGTGATTCAAAACAATGAAACGGCGGCCGTGTCGGTGTTGCAAACCATTCCTGTGGGAGTTCAACTCTTTCTTTTATGTAAACGCTTTTTTAGTGTATAGATGCTGGTCACGTGGGTTAAAACACTCTGTAAGTCCAAATGGAAACCCTTACAGTTTTGATGGATGGTTAGTCACTCTGAAATTTATATGAATCCTATTCCTTGGAGATTAGTCTACCATCACAAATTAAACAACACGTGGGTTAAAGTTATCATTCTATTGGGTCCTTATTTGGTCTTTCGTGCCTTAGGTTGGCCTTGGCTCTGACAAAAAGAAGCTGAAGTGCCTTTGCAATCATTTAACAGCGTTCGGAGGAAACTTTATACAGGCGCCAAATCCCATAGATTTCGACAAAGTGTTCGTGGAATTTACAAGACTAGGAGAAACTGGAAACGTAGCCGTGTTGATAACGATATGTGTCGTGTTCCTCCTTTATTTTGTGGTAACTGTCTTTGCAAGACGAGTGGACAAACGTGACGAAAATAAGGTATGAAAATAGCTCCGATCCATAAGAAATAAATGACATGCTCTAGAAATATCTAGTGCAAGAAGTAATTTAAAATTTCCAAACTAGCGTTTACTTTACCAACAATCGGCGACAAAATGAGTTGAGACACTTCGCCCAAAAGTAGGCTTTTTTACGATTTATGAACTTCAAAAGAAGGAAATATAGCTTTCCTCCCCCATCCCGTCTATACAATGTTGAGCCCTTGTTCTAGCTACCTATAGCAAACAACAAACACCCCAACTTTGAGGGGTGCGGATTCTTTTGTTCTCCGTAGTCACCCTATTTAAGTACAATTTCTCAACAATTTTGTCGCCGATTGAAGATACTTCAAAAACAATTAGTAAATATATATAGCTCGAAGAGGCAGCGTGGCGTCGCACTCGCAATCCTGCAGTCCCGGATTCGGGTCCCGCTCCGACCACAAGCTGGTTTTGTTTCTCTTGAGCGTAGGGGATCAGGAACGAGATTGGTTAATAGCCTGGATATAGCGAAATACCGACCCAAAAACTGGCATCTTGAGCATAACCCTTTCAGTACCCGAGATAGGCGTTGTATACTAAAAGGTCCAAGAAGCTAAGGTCGTAGTAGGTCCTTTGAACGTTACTTTTTTTATGACAAAATATTACAACTTCAATCAAAGTAGAATTACGAACTTCCAAATAAGGACATCTGCTGTCAAGTGTAACCAACAGATATGCTCCAAATATGGGGTCTATCTTGTATGCCTTCTCTTCTGATGCTTCTCATAAAAAGTAAGACTTGGACTGGAAAAAAAATATTCAAAGAAGCGGCTAAAAAAAGACGTCTCAAGATTGGCCTGGACTGGACTGGGTAGGGGTATCAATATACCCCTAGCGTTCCAATAAGTGACTACAATGGAACCTGTGAAAGGAAAAAATACTAGTGAGGGTTCTAAAATTTATTTATTGGCCATGTGAAAATAGGATGGGTAAATAAATTAATTAACCCGGAAAAACGTACCTTTGGCCAATCTTTTAAAAACCTGAAAATAATCATTGAAAAACCAATGAAAGACCTTCGTTATGTGGTTGGTAAGAAAGCATTGTGACATAACATTTATCTGGCTATCCACAACATGTAAATCATTCTGATATTCTATTTTGCGACGTTTTCGTCCCTTAGATTACCCCTCCGAGGACCGTAGTAGTTAATGAAGGCGGAAGCTATGTCTACGAAATGGTGATACGTACAGGTGTTTGGAAAGATTCAGGTTCTACTGCGAACATATCACTTTATATAGACGGCAAGATGGACGAAAGCAAGGAAATCCATTTGCGACGTAGGGGAGAAAACCCTGAACTATTTTCCCGTGGTGGTGTTGACGGTTTTGTGCTAATAACTAGTAACACTTACGGACCCCTGAAGGCAATAACGTTATCTCATGATAACTCTGGCAACGATCCATCGTGGTTTCTTGAAACGTTGATCATAAAGGATAAACAAACTGGGGAAGTGTGGAATTTCTTAGTGAATAGGTGGCTAGCTGTTGAAAAGGGTGATGGTCAAATACAAGTTACAGTGCCATGTTTCAACACAAGAGATTTTGGATTCTCAGATCAGGTGCGATCGATGACCCCTCGAATTTTAGCCGATAGTCATATTTGGTTGTCAGTTGTTGGCAAAGCATCGAGCAGTACATTCACACGAGTGCAAAGAGCGTCTTGTTGCCTTTCCGTTCTTTTTACTGCCATGATTGCAAACGCCATGTTCTACACTATTGGCGGGGAATCACTAGCGGCAATTCGGGTTGGACCATTTAAGTTCTCGTGGCAGCAGATCGTCATAGGAGTTCAAAGCGGAGTGATTGTTGCGCCAGTGAACATCCTGATTGTACTACTCTTTCGCTTGAGCAGGCCAAGGCAGCGGAGAGATGATAAATACAAAACTGGCACGGATTCATTTCATCTTGTTGAGGAGGCGAGGAAATCGAGGTTTACACTGCCCCACTGCTTCATCTACATCGGATGGTTCCTTTGTATCACCACGACACTAACAAGTGCCGCTTTCACGCTTTTTTACAGCCTTATGTGGGGAAAAGAGCTTGCCGAGCAATGGCTTGCATCCATAATGACTTCTCTAGCTGAGGATATATTCGCTGCGCAGCCAATGAAAGTGTTACTAGTTGCTTGTGTAATATCCTTGTTGACAATCCGACGAAAAAAGGGGTGTAACGCTGCAGTTAGAGATGCAGAAACCTATGGACAAATGAGCGATGGCGAGTTCGATGATGATCCAAAGAAAACGTTGAGACGTTATGAACTTTCAAAGATGCGCGACAACAAGAAAAAGGACGTGAAACTACTAGGAATGATGAGACAAATAATTCTGCATACCTTATTCGTATTCCTCATGGCCATCACTTGCTATGGGAACAAAAACAACAACCGCTTCCTAATGACAGCAGCGGTGAAGCAACCGTTTCTAAAGTTTGACAAGGTAATTGCCTTTTCTTTCCGAGAGAAAGCCAATGATTCACAATTTACAGAATTACATTAGCAACTAGAGGTAACAGGTACACCCTGACAAGTACTAATCAGATCATAGGTTCTACTCCTATGGGGAATACTTTTGGATTTTTCCTTCCGAAACGCCTTTGTCAGTGACTGAAAAATTATCGTTCTCATGTTTTCACCTGATGCTAAACATTAAGCAAAAAAACATATATATGTAAGCCATGGCTTAAAATCGTTGTTAAAAGTAAAATATCGCTAGAATGTCAAAGCGACGAGGGTGGATAAGAGTTCACGCTTTTTTCTCCATGTACAAGCCAAAGGGAAGCGGAAATTGAACTAATTACTATCCATGACTTTATTCTAGTATCTGGTGGTGGCATATAAAACAGGACTTTGAATGGAGCATCCCACATTGTTCCCCCTAGTTCAAAATAACAGTAGCGAAAGTGAATAGAAATTTTTTTATATAGGTCAACGTTACGTAACAAAATTATCACAATCTATTTCTTTTTCAACAGGTCACACATCCGGACGTACTGAGGGGATGGATGGATCAATTTTTCATACCAAACCTCTATGCAGGGTTCTGGTACAATAACCAAAAAGAGATTATGGAGGTTTACATACACAATAAAAAGTCTATTTTGCTGGGAATGCCACGAATGAGACAAGTTAGAATTAAGAGGAGTGAGTTCGAGTTTACTGTAAA